GTGATGGTGGTGTTATTGTTGGTGCTGTTGTTGGTGATGGTGATGGTGATGTTATTGTTGGTGCTGTTGTTGTTGGTGGTGGTGATGGTGGTGTTATTGTTGGTGCTGTTGTTGGTGGTGGTGGTGATGGTGGTGTTATTGTTGGTGCTATTGTTGGTGGTGGTGGTGATGGTGGTGTTATTGTTGATGCTGTTGTTGCTGATGTTATTGACAGTGACTGTAGTGTTATTGCTAATGTTGTTGCTGTAGTTGTTGGTGGTTGTGGAAGTGGTGTTGCTGTTGTTTGTGTAACTGTCATAATTGTTGTTGATGGTGGTATTGCTGTTTTTGTTTTTGCTGCTATCATTGTCGGTATAAACATTTCTGCAGTAGCTTTTCTTGGGAGTTCCGTTGTTGTCACCGCAGTCGTTCTGGGAGGTTTTGTTGATGTTGTTGCTTTGGCTGTTGTTGTTATCGTTGCTGGTGGGGATGATGGTGGTGACGATGATGTTGCTGTTCCCGTTGTTGTTCTCGTTGTCGTTGTTGGTGCTGATGTTGTTGCTGTTGTTGTTGGCAGTGGTGGTGATGTTGTTGTTGACCTTGTTGTAGTTGGAAGGGGTGGTGTTGCTGTAGTCGCTGTTGGTGATGATGTTGATGTTGTTGTTATCATTGTTGGTGCTATTATTGCTGTTTTCGCTGCAGATGCTGCTGTTGTTGTTGCTGTTGGTATTGCTGTTGTTGTTGTTGTTGTTGTTTTAGTTGCTTTTGCTGCTTCTCTTACATCAGCGGTTGCTAGTTTTGTTCTTGGTAACAATATTCCCAAAATAGGGGAGGATGCTGAAGAACCAATAGGAGTAGAAGCAAAGGAAGAAAGGAGGGAGGAGGAAAGGTGAGAGGAGAGTAGGGAGTGAGGAGATGAGGGGAGGAGTGAGGAAGAAAGGAGGGAGGCGAGGAGGGAAAAGAGGGACAGGAAACGACCGGTTGAAAGGGAAGATGAGGTCAACAATGAAGTAGTAGATAAAGACGAGCTGTCAGTTGCTGGTAATGATGATGATGATTTCATTGACGATGGTGATATTGTTGATGATGATGACAATGATGACGGTGATACTGAGAATGATGATGATGATGATGATGATTCAGTTTTCTCTCCAGACTGCAGGA